TCTGTCTGTAGACGAGCTCTTTGAGCACTTAGATCACTGATCATGCGCTGATTCTGCTCTTCCTTTGTTTTAAATTCACTCAGCTGATCTTCCAGAGTGCGGCACATCTTCTCCAGATTTGCCTAGGTATCAAATAGACATAAGAAAGGAGGATTAATTTCTGGAATCTTCCTTATTTTTACAGCAGGAAAATGTGGCCAGAAGATGCAGTCTATGTATTTCTCCATGGGATAAGGTGCATACAAATACAGTTCTGTATAATAGATTTGGAGAAAGACAGTTATATTATAACCTGATCATATTTAAATAAGATAAGATTAAACATAAATGTTCCATTGTTTTCAAATTGCTATCAATAAATATGTCTGTACCTTGGCTTTGGAGACAGACTCCATGTTGTCTGTGGCCAAGACAACATGGCCAAGTCGTCAATCTCCATCTTCAGCTCACTCTTCTCCTTCTCCAGCTTCTGCTTGACACGCTGAAGGCTGTCTATCTGCTCCCCAAGCTCAGCTGTGCTGTCCGCATGCTTCTTCCGCAAGGCGGCGGCTGTGGCTTCATGCTGCAGAGTGGCCTCTTCAAGGTCCCGGCGCATCTTCTGAAATTCTGCCTCACGCTTCTTGTTCATCTCGATCTGAGCTGCCGTGGCCCCCCCTGCTTCTTCCAGGCGCTCACTGATCTCCTCTAGCTCCCTGGAGAGGTCAGCCCGATGCTTCTCTGCTTTGGCCCGAGAGGTCCGCTCGGCCTCGATTTCCTCCTCCAGTTCCTCAATACGGGCCTGGGGAACATTAGGCACCGTTCACACCCATGCCCTGCTCCTACCTGGCCTCTGTCGAGGCCTGTGAGAGAAGGGTTGGAACAAAGACTTGCCTGCAGCTCCTTGATCTTCTTCTGCGATTGCATGCCCAGGGCTTGCTCATCCTCGATCTTGCTCTGGATCTGGCTGATTTCAAAGTCTTTCCTTTGCACAAAGCAAAACTTTGTTTGTTAGAGCCCAACGGAAAGCATATGTGCACCTGCACAGTGCAAAGGTGCCCCACAACCACACTTACTTCTTCAGTTTCTCATCCAGCTGCTGCTTGTCGTTTTCCAAGTCCATTATGGTGTCATGGGCCAGCTTCAGGTCTCCCTCGAGTTTCCTCTTGGCTCGCTCAAGGTCCATGCGCAGTTTCTTCTCTTGCTCCAGGGACCCTTCGAGCTAAACAGAACAAGGCCGTGAATGCTCTGCCAGCCAGGCCTAACTCCATAACTGTTTTTACTGGATGTGTGTGTGCTTACATCATCCACTTGCTGCTCCAGCTTGGTTTTAGCTTTGGTCAGCGTATTGACTTTGTCCTCTTCTGCCTGCAGGTCATCCAGTGTCTGCTGGTGGGCCTCTTGGAGGGCTTTCTTCTCTTTTGTCAGCTTGGCAATGTTCTCATCCAGGGCTGCCATCTCCTCAGTGAGGTTTTTCACCTGTGAGAAGAAGGGAGCAGGTGGTAATTCAAGCAAGTAGCTATAAGTGTGCTGTAACAGCACAGCATTGATTGCTGGATTGTGAGTGACAAGTTCTCTGTTATACCTTGTTTTCGGTGGCATGCTTTTCCTTCTCAACCTTAGCCAGCGTTAACTCCAGGTCATCGATATCTTTCTTCAGCTCTGAACATTCGTCCTCCAGTTTCCTCTTCTTGGCTGTCAGCTCCGCATTGATTTCCTCCTCGTCCTCCGCCCTTTCTGTCACCTCCTTAACTTTGGCTTCCAGCTGGATTTTGGTTTTGATGAGTTGGTCACATCTTTCCTCAGCATCAGCTAGAGCATCAGCTTCCTGTTGGGAAAATATAATGTTTCTGGATATATCTTCTGCAGGATGTTGAAATTCTTAGCTTTATCTTTAGAATCCTGGATAGCAATTTTGCAATGTAAAGTAATGTAAAGTAAAATTGACTTTGAATTGTCTGGAGTGGTTTTTGAAATGGGTAATATTTAAATCTAACACCAGACAAAATTTGTTTAATCTGTATGAAGGCCTAAGTATTTATATACATGTGTAAGGTTTAGATTCCATACTTATCTCATCAAGATCAATATTACAACAAAGCATATACATTTTTGGTTAATCATAGGAGATCTTCCATATTTTCAAACACTTATAATATGCTGAATGATAACTATATGCCAAGCTACATATAAACAGCAAAGTCACAGTTATGCTGACATCAGTCCTGTGTTTCTGTTTGTTCACCCTACTGTTTTTGAGAGCAATTATGATTTCAGTTCTCATCACCATTTCTCAAAAAATACTCAGCATCCAGCAGCTTCAGCTTTTCTTAATTAGACTCTCATCAGCTAAGAAGAATAGGAACTTTTACAAATTGAGCCATTTTCAAAATCTGATTTTAGACTTCTTGCAGCAGACATACTGTAGTGTTTGTTGCTTGTGTTTTATCTCACTTTTCAGTCTAGCAGATATACTGTGACAGAGAAATGATAATTTTAGCAGTGAACAGATTTTTTTAAATCTTTTTACGGTTCAAGATGTTTTAATAAGGGGACCACTTATCTTACCTACATGTCACATGTATTGCATAGTATTATTTTTTGGATACAGTCAATTCTGTGAATGATTTAATTTAGAAATCACAGCTTACAATGCCATACATATACCACCTAATATCATGCAATGATTCCAGTTCATCTCTCTGAGTGTTTTAGGATGGTGAGTGAGAAAATTAAATTCTGTTTCCTCTCAATTAGGTTTATGTTCAAAATCATAACACAGTACTGTCCCTAGCAGCTAGGATGCCACCTACGCTGGAAAGAAGCAAATTGTCATGTTTAGTTGAGAATAAAGAAAATAAAGATATGCCATCGTATCTTTTCCTAAGGATTCCTGATCATGTGTGTATAAGAATGGACATATAGGTATTGGAGAGGTATGAAAACCTAGCCTAGAAGAACAAAAATTATGCTACCTGAAAGTAAAGAGTTTCTTGTTTTGTCTGATGCAGTTTTACTGAAGGTAAATGACAGAACTCTCGAGAATCATCCTAGAAAAGTCTCACTCATGGTGTAAAGATGATCCAGTGATGCCTTGTTCACAATCTCCTGACAATCCTCATTGCAACTAATTAAATTTTTAAGAGCACTACTTAATGAAATACTATAGAATTGAATCACAATCATAGTTTCTACGTGTCTTCTGAAAATGTAGTTGTACATATAAACCTTATCATCAAAATTCAGTTCAGATCAGGCACACTGGTAGCACTCACAGCCTGCACTTGGAGCTGAAGGTCATTTTTCTCCTGCACCAGCTTCACCATTTTCTCCTCCAGCTCCTTCCTTTTGGCCTCAGACTTTGCAAGCTCTTCCTTCGTTTTCTCAAACTCTTGTTTCATATTGGCCATCTCCTTCTCTGATTCTGCACTCCTCAGCAAGGGCTTGATCTTGAAGAACAGTTTCATCCAAGGCCAATGCTTGACATTCATGAATGCACGAATGTTGTACTGGATGCAGAAGATGGACTCTCTGAAAGGTAATTCAAAAGAATATTAAATATTTAAACTGTGATGACCTAGTAAGCCAAGTACAGTAAGCCTAATTTGAAGAAAAGTGTACCTCCTCTCAACCATTTTCTGGTACTCTACCCTCATCAGGAAGCCCCTGCACCTGGCCTGCGTGCGAGTGATGAGCTGTGCCAGCTTCTCATCTCTCATCTCCTCCAGGAGACCTACCAATCCAGCTTTGAAGAACACCTTAGACAAGAATATAAAAATCATCATTCAGTGTAGCCCAGTATCCTGTCCTCAAAACAGATAATATGGGAAGTTAAGAAAAAGAGCAAAAGTCCAAAGAAAGCATGTAGTGATATCGCCAAGCTTGCAGTAACTTTCAGTTTAGGAACTATATGAGCCAGACCTTATGTCTTTATTTTATTAGCCTTTAGTTCTTTTATTCTACAACTTTGTCTTAAATTAGGAACCCTGAAATAGGATCATCCTATGATCCTATGGCAATGAATTTCGCAGTTTTAATTAAGTATTGAGTCAAAAAATACTATTTTTTATTTGTTTTAAATATACTATTTGATAATTTCACACTCTGCCATGAGAATTTGAGCATTGTTCTCAAGCTCTACAAACCAAAAACACAGAGTACTTGAATGAAACAGTTCTGTTTTACCTTGGTGTGACCAAATTTATATTGAGTGTGGTCTATATCAATTGATCCCAGAAGTTTCTCGCAAGCCTTCTTGCTGTCAATGAACTGTCCTTCTGGAATAGCACTTGCATTTAATACTTTGTATCTGGGGGAGAAAACAGAATATAAAGAGGTCTGTTGTTGAAACCAATTGGCTGATACACTGCAAGAAAGGGTCTAAGAACTTTTGAGAACATTACACCGCTACTAAATCTAAACTTTACAAATGGATTTAGTTACCATAGATGAACGTGCTTAAATTCCACAAGGTACTCAACATGGCCAAAATGAGTCAGTAAGGGGAGCAGTCTGACCTCTGTTTAAAATCTGCATACAGGACTCTGTTGGGAAATCCTTTCCTGCAAATTCTGATCCCTTCCAGCACACCGTTGCACCGCAGCTGGTGCAGCACCAGTTCATGTTCCATGGCACCTAACAGTTGAGAGCACACATGAATACTATATTCTGTAGTACAGAGGGGAAGAGCTGCACCATATTGAAGACTTTCTGTATCTGAGTCTCTTACCAGGTGTTTTTGTTTCATTTGGGATGATGCAGCGCACAAAATGGGGGTGAGTGCTTCGCAGATTCGTCATCAGCTTGTTTAAATTCTCCTGGGAGAGTCATTAACAGAAGGCTATATTAGCAAATGTAATTTCCACTGTAAGCATCAAGCCCTCTGTAATGAGATAATGAGGAACCAGACAACAATGATCTGAACCGGAGCCACCTACACCCATTTTTCCTACCTTCCACAGAACATTATTATTATTAAATTAAAGTATAAAGTTCTCCTGTTTAATCAGTGGGAAATATTGTACTCTCAACATACACTTTTATGATATTCCACTATATTTTGCTTAGAATTAGACTGAGGAGTCTTACTCTAGTTGAACATGTTCATTAGAAATGAGATCATTCTTCCACAAGAGGTAGCCAGGGAGATTTAAATAGGTACCTCTGGGAGGCAATTTGAAGCATACTAAGGTAGACACCTAATGCAGGTCATATGGATCACTCTAATGTAGTGCCTTTCCTATTTCTCCCCACTGAAAGAAAAAGGAGCACAAATGACCAGCTGAGTCTTATATGTCTAGTTTGTGTTTCTAGATTTTGGCTATCTAAAGTAAGATGAGATGAATCCCAGCCTTGGATTATAATAGTCTCTGTTAAAATTATTTACAAGTAATTAGTCCCTATAATTAATGGTGAGATGCGCATGCCTCCAGAGGAGATCTCAGAGTACCTAAATTAAGCAGTCAGTAGATCCCACATCATGCCCAGATCAGTGGAGTAGTGGAAGAAAGTTTGAAAATATAACAAAAATGCAACTTAAATAAAAGAAATAACATTTCTCCTATAACATTACCCCTGAAAGTCTTATGACATTAAACCTAGGCTTATTGCGTTCTTTTTGAATGATACATGTTGACAATAATTTCCCACTTGCATGGGAAAGGCTGTTACACCTATGGTTATTTTTCCTGGGGCATAAATACACACGCCCATGTTCTGTTTCAGAGCACTGGCTAGGGGCTGGTTCAGGTGATCGAGGATCATATGACAGCAACCCAGTAGGAGGAATTAGTCTATATCAAGAAGGGAGCCCCAAGCAAAAGATATATATGGTAATAAAATACCCTCGGGGAGATTAGATAATTCATGTGGAGGAAGTGTAAATAACAGCCAGGCAACAAGACCTGGTTTTGAGAAGGAACTGTCAGGTATCTGACATCTTAAAAATCTATATCCCAAGATGTGGGGGCGTTTCAACCATATGAGATTGGTCTCTGAGTCATGGAAAAAAAAAACAGAAAAATTCATGGAGCAAACAGCTCATCCTCCAGATCAGTGGTAGGAACCACCCTGTTATAGGGCAATATAAGGCTCTGAAATGCAGCTAAGCATCAGGAGGGAATTTGTGTCTTTTAGGAGTATTTTAAGTATTTTCTATATGACATTGTTCTGGGAGAAGTGGACAAAGGGATAGGTTGTGCGTTCAATGGAATGGAGCTTACATAAGTTCCAATGGATTTATTCCCTATCAAAATATGACCCAAGAAATTTGGGGCCTTTTTGCACAAGTAAGTAAAAAAAAAAAATTTTAAGCCATTACATTTTAGCCATTTTTAATGGTCTGCATTTTTAGCCATTTTAAATGGTCTGCTTACTCCTTATCTTAGGAAGAGATACTATACCCGGAAAAGAGCTGAGACAGTCTGGAAAGAAGAACCCTTCTTCTTTCCACCTTTCTTGCCAGCACCAGCACTAGCCTCTGCAAAATTGGAAACATATTAAACAGGTTTTAAATTTTTGCTTTTGCCTGTAATGATTCTCTTTTGTAAAACATGGGCTGCATAAAATTGACCTGCTTCTGCTCCACCATAGTTGGCAAACAGCAGGGCCAGTGTTTTCAGTGATGATTTCTGGTACAACCCAATGACGGTTTCATTCAGGGGGTCCTTGTTCTTCTCAAGCCAGCCAGTGATGTTGTAGTCCACTGTGCCAGCATAGTGTATGAGGGAGAAATGAGCTTCAGTCTTTCCTTTGGTAGGCTTGGGTTTCTGGAAGTTGCTGGACTTGCCCAGATGCTGGTCATAGAGCTTGTTCTTGAAAGAGGTGTCAGTTGCCTTGGGGAACATGCACTCCTCTTCCAGGATGGAGAAGATGCCCATGGGCTGGAAGAAATGAACAAGAGCGACAAACTGCAAATAAGCCTTCAGGAGAATATGACCATCACTTATGCAGAGTGGAAGAAGACATGCTGAGATACACATCAGAAAAGATTATTAATGGAAAATCATTTAGTTTGTGTCATTAACCTTCTTTATAATAAACACAGGCAAAATCTTCTTATCCAAAGGGCCTCACAGAACACAGAGATGTCTTATCACAAGTTGAACATAAGACAGCAATGCACCTTTATGGTAAAGAAGGCCTACACATCCTGGACTGCTTTAGGAAGGATGTTGCCTGCAGGTAGAGGGAGGTGATCCTTCCCCTCTACTCAGCAATGATGAGGCCACATCTGGAATGCTGTATCCAGTTCTGGGCTCACCTGTACAAGAGGGACATGGACCTTCTGGAATGAGCCCATTGAAGAGCCACTAAAGGACAGGAACATCTTGTCAGATGAGGAGAGGCTGAGAGAGCTGCAATTATTTAGCCTCAAGAACTGAAGCCTCAGGGGGATCTTATCAATGTGTATAAATATTTGATGGGTAAGAGTAAAGAAGGAGGAGTCCGACTCTTCTCAGTGATATCCAGTGACAGGAGGAAAGTCAATGGGCATGTCTTAAAATACAGGAAATTCCTTTCAAACATAAAAAACCCTAAGTTTTTACTGGGAAAGTGGTTAAACATTGGAACAGGTTGCCCACAGGGTCTGTTGAGAGTCCGTCACTGAAGATATTCACATCCCAACTGGACACTGTCCTGAGCAACCTGCTCTAGCTGACCCTGCTTTGAGGAAGGAGGTTGGCCTAGACAATCTCCAGAGGTGCTTTTAAGCTTCCGCGATTCCGTGGTTCTAATTTCTTACCATCCTTCCAGCCACTGAATATTGCATCCCATGTGCAATGTGGTTGCCTTCTCATTGATGCAATAAAAGGATATGTGACTGTTAGCTGGCAGTTATGCATATCTCTTGTCTATTTATTTTACAAAGCTATAGCTGTTTTGCTATATAAGCCTAAGTCTGCTAGAGCTGGAAGGTGAGAAAGAGACTCTAAATTGGAGACTGATTCTACCTGTTTTGAAATAATACTGTTATTTGGAGTTTAACAACCTTTTGGCACTTTAAAAGAGATCAGTACAGAGCTGTTGTCATGAAGCTGTGTGAAACCTTCTTATATCTCCCTTCACAGATAAAATAAACTACAGGGCAAGGTATTTTGAATAGCAGAAGCTGAATGTGTGGGCACAAACATGGAAAAGTCCTTTGAGAAAATGAGGCCAAGTAATTATAGAATTCTAGAATTCCTGCACACCTAATGTAATGGATACCTTCTCAATAAGCTCAATACAGGCAGCCAGGTCCATCCCAAAGTCAATGAATGTCCACTCAATTCCCTCTTTCTTGTATTCCTCCTGCTCCAGCACAAACATGTGGTGGTTGAAAAACTGTTGCAGTTTCTCATTGGTGAAGTTGATGCAGAGCTGTTCAAAGCTGTTGAACTGTGAAACAAAAATGAGAAAGACCCACATTTGCAAGATGCAGCAATGGCTACAACTCTTTTTCCTTTAAAAATAAGGAACTCAAATTATCTTGGCTTCTCTGCATTTCAAGTCTGCATTTCTTCAGTGTACTTTATATCTACATAATGAAACACAAAAATGCATCAAATTCATTGTTCACAAGGAATCTCTTCTCTCTGAAATAAATGTGAAAATAAAGTGTATTTCCTACATTTTCTAAAACCAAATTATGGGGAAAAAAGATATTACAGCATGTTTGGCCTATCATGATATATATGATTTTATAATGTCTTGTCCTTGATCATTTAAACCAAGTAACTCTTCCACTTGGGCCATTCTGTGCTTTTGAGTGGCACATCCACAAAATGAGTCTATTGCTGCAAAGCAAGTCCTTTGAAAGGTTTGTTCTTTAATTCAGGGTTTTAAAAAGTCTAATAGCTGCAAATAATTATGAGATAATATTAATTCTTTATTAAAAATATCTCAGAATTGTCATAACAGCCAGTTGTCACTTCCAAATAACTGCTACTAAGTCTTTGTTACTTACATCAAAGATCTCAAAGCCAGCAATGTCCAGGACACCAATGAAGTACTGTCTGGGTTGTTTGGTATCCAGCTGTTGGTTGATGCGAACAACCATCCACAAGAACATCCTCTCATAGACAGCCTTTGCAAGAGCACCTACAGCATTGTGCACCTAAAACACAGGGAGAGGTCTGGAGTTACCAAACAGAGTGAAGCCCCTGGGATGTTAATTCAAAGCATAGTTTTAGGTTACCACATTTCTTACTTGTTGCACAGTTTGACCTTTGGTCACATATTCATTTCCAACCTTGACTCGGGGGAAGCACAGGGCCTTGAGCATGTCGGCTGAGTTCAGACCCATCAGGTAGGCAGCCTTGTCAGCAACTAAAGATTGGAATAGAAAGAAAAAGGAAGAATTTATGGACACACAAGTTTTGATCCTCGAGTATTCTCTAAGAATCTAAAGTGCTCAGCAAGCTGTTTATTGAAATTTGTTAACCTGTATCCTGAATTACTGTATTCCTTGGGATCCTAAAGTCCACCTAAGACCAAATTTTCACAGAATCACAGAATCACAGAATCGTTTAGGTTGGAAGGGACCTCTGGAGATCATCTAGTCCAACCTCCCTGCTCAAGCAGGGTCACCTAGAGCATATTGCCCAGGATCACATCCAGACGGCTTTTGAATATCTCCAGCGAAGGAGACTCCACCACCTCTCTGATTCCCCTTTGTTTTGGACTTTCAGGTGATCTATGAGATAGAATTCAACAGCACCCATGGGATTCAAAGTGTGTCTGTCCAGTTCAAAGTCACCAACATCACTGGGAACTCAGGATCTTCTCTGCAGCAGCATTTCACTTTGCGCTTCTGGGTCAGTGCCCCCATATTCCTTGAGCCCTTACCAAGCCTGTAATAATAAAGATTAGGGCAGTGTCATGACAGTACCAGCTCCCTGGAAAACAGGGCTGGCAGTGGAAGGAAGAGGGAGCGCTGTTCTGATCTCAGGTAAACCATGTAAGTAGAAAGATTCAGGCTTATTGCAAGCTTGTCTCTTGTGCAATTTGCAATTGGCTATTCTGTTCTGCCCTGTTTTTTTGTGGGGGGGTGGAGTGGGGAGGATGAGATCAGGGTCACCGGCATGGTCTTGTGAAGGACAGGGTTGGAGCTGGCTAGCGCTGTATCCGAGATGTTGAGTCAAGGACGGTCTCTTACATGTTTCAATGTCAGCAGAAGCCAGTTTCCCTGTGGCCCCAAAGTGGATTCTGATGAATTTGCCCTGTTCAGGGAAGAAAGAAGCATTTCAGCCTAGCTGCATTCCTTTGCCGTCTCCTTCGGTGAGACTAGCACGAGGCCCATCATTACGCTTGTAAAGAGAGGGAGAGATTTTGTCCAAAGCAACGACTTACAAAGCGTGAGGAGTTGTCATTCCTCACAGTCTTGGCATTTCCAAAGGCCTCCAGCAGGGGGTTGGCACTGATGATTTGGTCCTCAAGGGTGCCCTACGACACGATAAGTATTGTTAAGTTACAGTGTTTAATCCATGTGGCAATTGCAGGCCAAGGGTTCAGTCTCTCTCTTCTGCCTCACCTGCATTTTGCCTGACTGCTCCTCCTTCTTCTTCTCCCCACTAGCTGCAATTGTTGCAAAGTACTGGATGACACGCTTTGTGTTCACAGTCTTCCCTGCACCGGATTCTCCGCTGTGAAGCCAGAGAGAGAAGCAGAGAACGTATGGTCAGGCAGCAGGTTCCGTGGCACAGAGCAACCCATCAGGAACCCAATCAGGGAATGTACGTACGTGATCAGGATTGACTGATTCTCACGATCTGTGAAAGAGACAGAAACAAAGGGACAAGATGTAGCGCTCATGAATAAAAAAGAAAAAAAAACTCAAACACTGTGAGAGAAATATGAACAGAGGCTTCCAGAATGTGCAGGGACAGAAGGCAGTGAAAAGCCCTGGGAAAGCCCCTGCAGTAGGTACTTTTGATGTTCCTAGCAGTAATATCAGCTGGATCAACGGAGGCATCACTTCAGAATAGCTTTTCAGATTTTTCTTTTTTTCCATCAAGCAGTCTGCTTCTCTCTTATTAAGTAAATGCATGGAACAGAGTAATTAAGATTGGTTTCTGACAGTGTGTAAAACTGTGTGGGTCAAAAGAATTATGATTTCCCCCTCCACCCCAACTTTTGAAATAAGTGTTCTTTTCTGGTTAGCTTCTGGTTCCTGGGAATCTAGATGTTTCACCAATGCTGGAAATATTTGAACAAGCCTCTTATTCTCCTCCTTTTTCTGTCTCACCAATGAATGCAAAAGAATGAATTCTTTCCAGGGCAACTAAAAATATTAATTATTTCAGGATTTTCTGTTTTGGTTGTTTTCTTGATTCAGTTTACTTCATTTTGGGTGTAGTTCTGTCTTTGCAAGTCCGTTTTTAAAGGTTCTGACTAAGAGCAGGAAGAATGGAGAAAACTTTGAAAATGAAATGCTAAGTTCCTACTCCTAATTCATAAGCCTGCTTCAGTGGCAGAGAGAAAAAATGGAGAAGGAGAAAAAAGCGTTTACATGATGTATTTCCCTCCATTTTTGAGGCCTTTTTTTTTTTTTTTCAAATAGAGACAACATTATCGCTGTGTGATGTTCAGTTAGATCCCTATGCATTCACGAAACTGCTGCAGATGTGTGGACATCAGATCACTGGTTTCCTTCTCCATATTGCAGTTTCTGGTACAGAATCCTAATCTCTTCTAGTTTACTAACTTTTATACTTGAGAAGAAATAAATCCGTAATACAAGAGTATTAACTAACAGCTAATTAGAAATGCAAACATTTATCATGATTTCGTGGTGGTGCAACTCTCTGAGATTCTGCTTTTGTTCTTTACAAAGAAGTTGCAAATATCAGAAGACCACTTGAAATCAGAGCATTTGCTTCTTGTAATCTAAGTCATCATGAAGCCAAGGCACCAATAACTTAAGCTACAGAACACTTTTTAGAGAACTGAATTATATTTTTCAAAGTTAAAACAATATTTTGTGTGACAATTTGACTAGTGCTCAGACCTAAATAATGTGTGTGTGGGGGGGGAACTTTTGCTTCATCGACAAAATTTATCCCATTAATTATTCTTAACCATAACCTTTTCAGTGCCCTTGGCTATATGCTATCAGCTAAACTTTTAAAAATATTTAGAACAGAGCTATGTCTCTTTCAGAATAGCAGCAATGATAACTGCTAAAATAAAGTAAGGTTCATGATGAGGTTTACATCTCTGAACACGCTCAGTGTTTTATAAAACAAACATTATATTTTCTGGAAGACTTTGTGATTTCTTTAAGGTTCCTCACCAGTTAGCATGAACTGATAAGCGTTGTCAGAGATGGAGAAGATGTGGGGAGGAGCCTCCTGGCGCTTTTTGCCTCGGTAGGCCAACACCACCTCTGGGTTGTACACCGGCAGCCACTTGTAGGGGTTGACAGTGACACAGAAGAGACCCGAGTAGGTCTGTGAGGAAGGGAGACAGCAAGTTGGCTTCCACTCATAGCAGTTCTTCCTAGCTAGCTGCAGGAGGACTGCTGCTGGTACTTACGTAGATCATCCAGGCTGCATAACGCTCTTTGAGGTTATACAGCACAGCGGGTTCATGGAGGTGGGTCATCATGGCCATGTCCTCAATTTTGTCATACTTAGGAGGGTTCATGGAGAAGACTTGATCTTCCTTCACGGTCAGAGTCTGCCAAGGAAGAGAGAGGTCCATGCATGTCAGCTAAGAGCTCAGAGCGGGAGTTAAATGCTGCTCTGAAGCCTTGTGTTTTACTCACTTCTCCTGCTTCGGTCTTGACAGTGACCTTTCCTCCTTCCCTGCTCTGGATTGTCCCTTTCACAAAGGATTCCTTAGCATGCACCACAAAGACCGATGACTTGGCATCGAAGGGTTTGTTCTGGGCCTCGATTCTCTCCTTTTCTGACTTTCGGAG